TTCTTATTGGGGTTTTCATATAGGGATAGGCTGAGGAGATTTGGTGGGGTAAATTTAGCTCGTTTAGTCTTGGACTTGAAAAGATCAAAATCGTGTTTTGCAACGTCAGACGTAGTAAAAACACGTTTATTTTTTTGGTCTGAACATTTGAGGCTCATTTGGGGTTTCATGGGCTCAGTAGTATTAAGGGTTTTTTTTTTATTGCGGCCCATTTGTGAGGTGATGATAAATTTGATATCGGCCCATTAGGGATAGTTTTGGCGGGAGATTTTTGGGAAGTAATCTCGAGCTGTGGGATTTTATTTGTTTTTCCCGAGAAAAAGATTGGGTCAGAAGAGTTTTTTTTTAGCATTAATTCCTTCTGACTATTGATAGACATGTTGGAGGCGGCTATCTCCGTACTTTTAGTACTTAAGTCAGGGCATGGGATCCAATTGGTGTTAGCCACATGGCTATAGTTGGTATAGGTGTTACTAGATTTTTCCATGGTGGTTTCTTTTGCAGGCTTTGGGGAAGACGGGTGAGGGTCTTGAGGTGCACCATGAAGGGATTGGTTTGGTTTTGGTATGAATGGATTAGGGGTAAGGGAGCTTTCGGCTTTCAACCATGGCCCAAACTTCATATCAGGAACCCCCATATCACCATTACACCTTTTGTATTTACAGGACTGGACTTTGTGACCCAACAAACCACAAACATAACAAAAGTCAGCAAGTCTTTCATACCTGATTTCAACGTGAAGATCATCTCTCCCTTGGCAAGGAATGATGATGTGATCAATGAGAGGCCTCGAAGTGGTGATCTCAAGCTGTGAGCGCAACGCTTTTTTCCATCTTTGGGCAGAAGAATGTAGATCAGCTTTGATAAACCTTCCTAGCATGGCCCCAAATCTCGAAGCATTTGAGTGGGTAATGAGGCATACAGGTAAGTTTGATAGTTGAACCCAGAAGATGGCTTTGGTTAGGTCAATGTCGGATAGGGCTTTATCAGGAGGCCAGTGTTGGAGCAGGACTTGTGAGTCTCTAAAATTCCAAGAAAGGTTAATGACTTTTTGGGCATCAGCTTTGTCCTCAAAGACAAACGACATGAGATTCGGCTCAAGAAGGATAGCCTGCATTTTTTTCTTGGGATTCCAGACTTTTTGCATGGTAGTTTTAAAGGCAGCCATATTGTGTTGTTTTTCGGACAGGATTTTGGCAATGATTGTGAATTCATTGGGGTTGGGTGGGGGATCAAAATAGGGATCTTCAGAGCATTCAAGGAGATTTGCTTGGGCACAAAGCTCATTAATAGTTTGGTTTTCATCCATGATGAGGAGGATTAATAAATGCAGGGGGTTAAATGAGGAGAGAGGGGTGAAGAAGGAATGGCACAAAGACACAGTAGGAAGAGGAAAAAGTTGATGCAGGAATAGAAGCAAAAGCACAGCAAGCAAAAGCAGCAAAGCCAAGATGAAGAGCACTGAAAGCTCAAACCCTACCAGGAGGGAGTTCTACTCGAAGAGAGAGAACAGAGGAGAGAACAGTGCTATTTTCCACTTTGTTACTTATATAATGTATTAACAATTTATAAATTAGTAAAAAAATATTAATCAATTTACCTATTTGACCTTCATTCTTGTCTATTAATGGGGTACTTTTGGAAGTAAAAAAATGGAAGAAACATCTCAAACATAGAATATAGAAATTTCATGTGGTAGGGAGCCGGGGACTGTGGAGGGGGGCATGGAATGAAAGATGATTAAATTTTTCTTTATAATTATTAAAGTGGATTATTTATGAATTTTTTTTTTATTGTATTTTAAATTAGCGGTAGCTTAGTCATTTTTTTAAGTCAATCGATTTATCTGGACTGGGGGTAGACTAAAAATTGCAACATAGGGGGTAATTGTTGTTTTATTTTTGAATTTTTTTCGACAATTAGACATTACACAGGGTTCTATGCAATTAACTCTAATGTAGGCTTAGAAAGATTCTTTATACTTGCCTTAGACGTGCGTTCCATAACAAAAGTATGAACAACGTAACATATACTATATATAGCAGCGGAACGTAGCCATTTAGCCGATCCCTTGGTCTTTCCGGTTACTTATCAGCCGAACAACTTTCGCCATTATTTTGGCTACCTATCTTACAACAAAAAAAGTAAAGGAAAAAAAAAAAAGACGACAAGAAAATAAAAGAAAAGAGTCACTTCACTTGGATCTTTTTTTTCAATATGTGTATGACTCTTTTCGACATCCTTTTTGTACACAAACAACCCTATATATATAATTATTTGAAGTTGATTGAACTATCAATTTGCCAAAAATAGATACTTAATGGCAAACAAGTTCAGTTTCATCCAACTGAATACCCTCCTCAGCAAGCCTCTTCTCCTTGTACACATACCTCCTCGCACAATACTGAAATATCACCAAATTGAAGACGCTCAAAATGGTCAACAACCAATAAAAGTCGTAAAGCTTCCCTTGATTCAGATTATCAGCCAACCACGGATTATTGTCGCCGGTCAACTTGTGCACTATCGTCACCAAAATAGAGCTGAAGAAGAACCCTAACGAAAGCGTACTCAGAAAAAGCCCCGTGCTCATTGTCTTCATACCCTTCGGGCACTCCCTAAGGAAGAAATCGAGCTGCCCGATATACGTAAACGCCTCCCCGGACCCCACCAATAGGAACTGAGGGATCAGCCAAAACACACTCAAAGGAATAGTGGCCGTCGGATCGTCCGTTAGTCCGTGGGATTCCGCCACGCGGAGACGTTTGACTTCGGTCAATGCAGCCGCCACCATGGCGATTATGGACAGGACTAGCCCGACGCCTATGCGCTGTAGCGGGCTTAGACCGTTAGGGTTTTTCAAGATCCGACGGCAGATAGGGAAGATGATGCGGTCGTAAATAGGGACGGTCAAGAGAATGCTGGCTACGAAGAAGACTGTTAGAGATGCGGCTGGGATTTCGAATGACTTTCCGATCCGACGGTCCATAGTTGTCGCTTGCGAGACCGAGAATGTTGTCATTTGTGCGTAGACGGTCCAGAACATTATCGTTGTGGCCCATGTAGGCAGCATTCTTATCACCATCTTCACTTCTTCTACATCGGTCGAGGTCGAAATGCACCACTTGTTCGCCGGTGCTTCAGGAGTCTTGATTGCTGCCTTGTCCAGGAAACTAGAACAAAACAAAACGCATATATATAAATTAAATAAGTGAATTGCATATTATTTGTTTGTAATCTTCTGATTTTACTCATGGGCATGTGATATACAAATTCTATTGACTAAAGACTAATTAATCCAACCAGCTTATGTAGTTAAACCTCTATAAATTAATACAGTCAAAATTATCAAAATTCTATTAATTATATTTAACAAAATGTTAAATCATCGAACTAATAATTAAACCTATTTTCATCGAGTCGAGATCGAAAGAAATCAGCGAAATTATTGATTTTATCGAACTTCTACTGTATTAATACATCTCCCTCCCTAATTGTTGTGGACCACATAATTACTTGTTGAGCCAAAATATTCAACAGCAAGTCAAATAATGCAAGTATGTGATTGGCCCACGAATATTCTAACTTGTGAGCAAACAACTATAGGAACCAATAGAATTATTATTACAATAAATAGTTTATAATAAAATGATGGATGTATGTGGACCACCACGTAGGTTGTGATAAGTTTCCAGGTTGGACCTCAACTGGTCCAAATACTTCTCCTTTTTGGTTGGCATCTTATGAAGACATATCATATTCATTTTACAAATAATGCAACACTAGATACCAAATTTATATATTACTATTTCCCATCACCTTATTAACCATTTATTTAATACCTAACCCCACAACTTTTAATATTGGATACTATTTATATGATTGAAAGATATTGTCTTCATATGTATATATATAGGTTGATTGATGGATAATTATTTGTGTTCATTATGAATGAAAATCTGGACTAAAGATCTATCTTTCATCAACTAGCTCACATGTAAACCAACATGAGTTTTGATATTTTCGTGTCTAAATTAATGGTGATGATAGAACCAGTCGGTGTCGAATGAAAATAACTCGAAATCCATTTCAAGATTAAGTTTTTAACATAAAAACATGATACGTTTTTATTTTGTTTTCTGGAGTAGAGTATTTCACTGTAGCCAGGGGCGGACCTAGGTGCTTTTTTGGTGAAAAGGCTAGGTAAAATATGGTTGTCAATTAAGAGAAGAAAAAAAATTGCACTTGTGTGCTAAAAGTGTACAAAATTCAAATCTTGAAGAGGTTATAGTCTATAAATTAATAGGTAAATACCAAAACAAAATTTAAAAAAAAATAGAAAATAAGTAAAAATAGAAAATCTGCAGGGACGGGATCCAGTCGTGGGTCCGCCCATACTGTAGCAGACTAATCATATTCGTATATTCGAATAAAGATAAGAATTGGAAAAACCTAGAAAAACCGTAGCGTGAGAGTTTCAATTTAACTTTTAGAAATTAATCCCAAGAGATGGTGTGAGAGTTTCAAATTAAACTTTTTAACATCACAAGAAATCTATTAAAAGAAATATTCCATAGGTCCCCGGATTATTATAATTTTTAATTAGTGCTACCAAATCTTATAAATAAATTTTCAATTGTTGCTGCTATGAAACCACAGATCCTAATATATGCTGCGTTTTTAATGTTGTAAATAAATTAATTTCTCAAAAAGTTAATCATACTGCTAAAAAAAGTAATATTTTTTTGTTTAGTTGTTGTTTGTTTGTGTTTGTGTGGTGGAGAGAGAAAAAAACAAATGAATAAAGCACAGAAGAGACAGTTATTACAGTTATTGAAGACTCACCGGAACTCCTTGCTGTGTGGTAACTGTTGCTTCTTCTTCTTGCTGAGCTGGCCTCCATCGCCATTAATGTCATCAAGGTTGAAGAGCAGAGAAGAGTCCGACGGCAACTCAAGGTGTCTCTTCCTCCACGCCGCCACGAACACGACGGCAATCTGCGTCAACGGGCTGCCCACAAGCTTCTTGAAACGGTACCTTCTCGTACCGGACAGAAAAACGAGCAATCCGACAACAATGGCGCATGCACAGATCCCGTACCCCCACTGCCTACCGAGATTGTCTTGTATGTACACAAGCACGGTCACCGCTCCAAGTGACCCGATATTTATGCAGAAGAAGAACCAGTTGAAGAATTTCACCATTTTTTTTCTTTCCTTGTTGTCCGATTCGTCGAACTGGTCCGACCCGAAGCCGGAGACGCTCGATTTTAGGCCTCCGGTGCCTAGGGCGGTCAGATACAGGGCTGCAAAGAGGACCATAAGCTGTTTGCCGCTCGCCGGGATACATGATTCGCTCCCGGCGGTGCATTTTGGTGGCCGGAGACTCGGGATTACGGTGGAGATTGTCAGTATCGTCACTCCCTAATTAATGAGTACAATGATTGATTATTCAAGAATTAATTAGCACAGCTAGTCAAAGTTCAAACAACAAAAACCCAAACAGCCTGGAGATTATATATTCAATTGCCAATTGCAAGCATCAATTCTTTTTTTTTAATTTTATTACTTGATCAATTCCAATTCGCTGTTTCGGGTTTCCTCTTTACAGTGACGATATTAATTAATCAATTAATTAATTAATTAATTAAAACTGGCAGATTTCATGTACTACTGACATATATATCGCACTAAAACCAAGAGAGAGAATATCGAGACGATGAAATCAAGTGGTAATTTATATTAAGCGTTGGGCTTACCGTAGCTTGAACGGTGGCGAAGATGCCAATGGTCAAGTACCTGCACCAAAGACAAACCACATAAATTAACTTTGCCATCCGATCCGAGAATATACTATCTTAAAAATTGAATAAATAAATAAATAAATTACCTTCCGAGAAAAGTATCAGCTATGAAACCACCGAGCAAACAAAGCATGAAAGAAGTGCCGAGAAAATTGGTGACATTGTTGGCGGACATAGCATTGCCCAAATGCATCGTCCCGGTCAAGTACGTAACTAGATTCACCGCTATGCCCAGTGTAGTTAGCCTCTCAACAGCCTCCACCCCTGTGTGTATCCGTCCCCCGAATTAATATTAATATTAATAAAACTTCATG